TTTTTTTTTTTTTTTCCTTGATATGGTTCTGGGGATCAAACCCAGGGCCTCACGCATGCTAGACAAGTGTTCTACCAATGAGATACACCCCAGCCCTCCCCTCCTTTTTGAATGTCACAGCCTTCCTTCTCTCATATCATAACACTCCTATATTAAAAACATTTATAAAGTTTTTTTAGTATTTATTTTTTAGTTATAGGTGGACACAATATCTTTATTTTCTTTTTATGTGGTGCTGAGGATCAAACCCAGTGCCTCATGCATGGTAGGCAAGCGCTCTACCTCTGAGCCACAACCCCAGCCCACATTTATGAAATTTTAACTGAAATGCTTTTCCTTTCCACTCTCCCTTCTCCATAAGCTGTACAATGTTCTTTCATGATGTGTTCTGTTTATGATATGTTCAGAGAAAAAGGCAAAAAAAAAACGCATTTTACATTTTTTAAGAAGCAAAATACAAATATTTAAGTAGCACCTAGTAGAGTAAGAGGGCCAAGTGTCATTTGGGAGTATAGACTACATTAGGACAAGAAAACCCTAAGAAGTACTTATCATTAAGTCTGTCCCTTGATCTTTACAGGAAGGATATCAAGCACATAATAAGGACAGATGGCATTTGAACCATGTGCCTTATATATATCTGGAATCATCTGAGAAGATATTGACTCCTAGTAGACACATTTATGACAGAAGAGGTCAGGCATCCACCTAGGAAGGAAGAGGAGCTTTTCCATCTTGGTTAGTCTGAACAGCAATGTAAAAGAGCCATGATCTCAAAAATTCCCAGTGCCATTCAATAACAGTTCAAAATTAGGGGCTGGGGCTGGGGCTCAGCAGTAGTGCACTTGCCTGGCGTGTGTGAAGCGTTGGGTTCGACTCTCAGCACCGCATTTAAATAAATAAAATGAAACTAAAATAAGAGTTCAAAATTAAATCAGTGAAAAGAAAAATCCCTCTTTCAAGTAAATAAACTCATTAGAACTATCACTTTTTTCTTTTTTTGTCCTTATGCTAAAAATAGAATGCTAACCAGTTTATCTCTCAACATTTGTATATAAGTATGCATGTGTATCCTTTTACTAGTTTTAATTACTCATTTATTCCTCAGATATTTATTGAGTAACTACTTTGTGCTAGGCACCACTCTAGGTTCTGAGAATAAAATGGTGAGCAAAATAGCCTGTCCACATGTCACTGTTCTCTACTAGTCTACATTCAGTTGAGGAGAGACAGTAGACAAACATATAGTCATCTGGAATGAGATGTTGTGAAGAAAAAGGAAGCAAGGGCAGAGGATAAAGTACGATGGAAGGAGCTAGTTTAGACAAGATAGTCAGTCAAGGCTTCTCTGCAGAGAAAACATGATTGAGAAAAGATCAGAAAGCAGAGAGGGAGCCAGCTGTTCAGATATTCCCTCCACTTGCTTTTTGTTATGTTATTTAAAACATTGCTGTAAATATTGTGTTTATTCTTGGGTCAGGGTATTAACAGCTTAAGGGAATTTCTTTCTTCTTATAACATCATATGATCATATCCCTAGGAAACTGACTGGCTCTTATTCAGCAGACAGTGGAACTTGTAGAGCTGACACAGTTTTCATTTTTACATTGGCTGCTAGAAAACAGAGAAATCTGCAGCCCACCCATAATGACAGTAGTGGTCATGAAGATCTTAACAAGATCCTTTTTGTGGTGAGAGGATGTGCCTCAGTGGTAGAGCATTTGCCTAGCATTTGCGAGGCCCTGGATTTGGTCCTAGCACAGCAAAAAGAAAAGAATATCTTTTTTGGAAAAAAAAAAAGAACAGTGGTGAATTATAAATGTATATCCTGGGGCTGGGGATGTGGCTCAAGCGGTAGCGCGCTCGCCTGGCATGCGTGCGGCCCGGGTTCGATCCTCAGCACCACATACCAACAAAGATGTTGTGTCCGCCAAGAACTAAAAAATAAATATTAAAAAAAATTCTCTCTCTCTCCCCCTTTAAAAAAATAAATAAATAAATAAATGTATATCCTTGAAATAGAAAACACACAATAGAGGCTGGGGATGTGGCTCAAACGGTAGCACGCTTGCCTGGCATGCGTGCAGCCCGGGTTCGATCCTCAGCACCACATACAAACAAAGAATAAATATTAAAAAATTTAAAAACTAAAAAATAAATATTAAAAACTAAAAAACTAAAAAATAAATATTAAAAAATTCCCTCCCTCTCTCAAAAAAATTGAGATCCTTGAATCCTTTAAAAAAATTTTTAAAAAAAATAAAACACACAATAAAGTGTGGCTATCCCAAAGAATAAATAATGTAGTTATACTACAGGGGAGTGGTTCTTGGGAGGGGCTGTATTTTGGCAGTATTGATGATATAATTGTAGGATGCTGCTGCCATCCAACATCGAACAGGACAGCCCACCACAAAGAATTATCTGGCTCCAAATGTCAATAACCCTAAGATTGGGAAACCTTGTTGTAGACTAGACCATTCAATCTATAATTTCATACACTGGAGCTATAGCTTCTTTTTACAAAAATGACAGACGTTTTCAGTCTTAGTCATTGTGCTGCTATAACAAGGTGCCTAAGATTGGCTAATTTATAAGCAACAGATAAATATCTATTTATTTCCTTATGGTTCTGGAGGCTAGGAAGTATAAGATCAAGGTGACAACAAGTCTACTTTCTGGGCCCATTCTTCATAGATGGTGCCCCCTAGGTATCTTCACATGGTAGAAGGGACAGAAAGGGCAAGAAAGGAGGAATGCAGGAAAGCAAAAGAGGCCTAACTTCCTTTCTCAAACCCTTTTATAAATCTGCTAATCCCATCTATGAGAGCATGGCCTTGTGATTCTAATCACTTCCCAAAAGACCCTAACCTACCTTTCTTTCTTTCTTTCTTTCTTTTTTTAAATTGTAGATGGACACAATATCTTTGTATTTATTTATTAATTTTTATGTGGTGCTGAGGATGAAACCCAGTGCCTCACACATGCTAGGCAAATGCTGTACCGTTGAGCTACAACCACAGCCCATCTTTTTCTTTTTCTTTTTTTTCCCCCAATGCTGGGGTGTACCCAGGGCCTCACACATGCTAGAGAAACTCTACCACTGAGCCCAGCCCATCCCTAACATCTTCATTTCACCATACTGGGGATTAACTTTCACTATAAGTTTTAGAGGACACATTCAACCCGAGCAGTCTTTGTGTTGCTTACTGTAACATGTGGTGTGCATTCTAATGGGAAGGTTGGGTGCCCCACGGTCATCAGTCAAATATTTCTGAAAGCAGTAATTTTTCTCTTCAAGAAATCTGTATTCTGCCTACTTAGTCACAACCTCAGGTTGACAAAACAAAGGGGAAAGGTGTCTTTTGTTTGAAATCCAGTATTTTGAATGTATGAGGAAACAGCATAGTTGAAATAAGGCTGTTTTCCTTTCATCATCCTTTCTCTTTGCAGGCTTTCATAGAAACCATGTTTGCCAGTAAAGCCCCTGTGGAGGAGGCCTTTCTTTATGCCAAGGTGAGCCTCAGATGGTGGGAAGGTCCTCTTGGAAATGAAAGTCATTGATTTACAGGTGACATTCAATAGGCTTTCCAGGGAGTAATAGCATGTCCTTGGGGAGGATTTGGTTCTAAATGTTGTTGGTAATTTATTAAATGAATGCAGTGCTACAATTAAAGAAGAAAAATGCAAAGCAGAACAGATGAAGGAAAACAGTGTAAGAGGAGGAAAATAATACTGTTTTGGTAAACATGAAGGAAGAAGGATCTGAGGTAGCATGTGGGTGGTAGCAGATAGATACCTCAAGTCTACATCTCCACCCAGAGCGTAGTGAAATTGACAGAATTTACCAGTCACCCAGATCCTTTTTCACTTACCAAAAACATTTAGAATGGTAGCTATTTGAAAGGTTGAAATTAGTAGTTTTAGAGCTGTTGTTAAAAATATAAGCCAGGGGCTGGGGATGTGGCTCAGGCGGTAGCGCGCTCGCCTGGCATGCGTGCGGCCCGGGTTCGATCCTCAGCACCACATACCAACAAAGATGTTGTGTTCGCCGAGAACTAAAGAATAAAAAATATTAAAAATTCTCTCTCTCTCTCCCCTCTCTCTCACTCTCTCTTTAAAAAAAAAAATATAAGCCATATTTTGTTGTTTAGCTAAATAAGAATAAACAAATAGTAACCTTATCCAATGGCTCTCTGGCTCACTATTCTTCATAGGTCTTCTCTGTCCTCTCTGGACTTAATTTGAAAATCATGAGAAATTTAGAAAACACTCAGAGGAAAAGAATAGATTCAATAGTAAGTTTGAATAACAGGATTGGTGAGAATAAAAGGGTACGTATAGAATAGATTATAGTACACGGGGTGAGAATCTAAGACTAAAAGCATGAAAAGTTTGGTTAGATTCCCAGTAATCACCCTCATATAGTAAGCGCAGGTGTGGAGGCAGAGGCTGCTGAAGACAGCCTTGGGCTGGGGCAGACCTACAGAGATCATCCACAATTCTTACCATGTTGTTTTCCAGTTCGAATTTGAATGCCGGGCTCGTGGTGCAGACATCTTAGCCTACCCACCTGTGGTTGCTGGTGGTAATCGGTCGAACACTTTGCACTATGTGAAGAATAATCAACTCATCAAGGTACATAAAATGCCCCCAGTGCTTCTCCCATGATGGCCTAGTAGAAAATGCAGTAACCTTCCACTTCCACCAACTATATTTTTAAAGGCTTTTTATTGTTTAAAAGATGATTTTTACAGACATTATCTCATTTGTCCTTGAATTATCCTTGTTAGATGGGAGCAACTATTAACATGTTTGCATGATAGATAAGGAAAATAAACTTTTAAAAACTTAGCAACTCCGGGCTGGGGCTGGGGCTCAGCGGTAGAGCGCTCTCCTAGCATGTGCGTGGCCCTGGGTTCGATCCTCAGTACCACATAAAATAAATAAATAAAAACAAAGGTATTATATCCAACTACAACTAAAAAATAAATATTTTTTAAAAACTTAGCAACCCATTAGTAGAGAACCAAGTATTATATTCTAAAGCATCTGCTCATTTCATTTTTTTACACTCCTTATGATGTGGTGACAGCAGTGGGCCAAGCATATTTTGAAGTCAGAAGAATTTTAAGAAAACCTTATTGGCTGTGAGGAAACACATCTTTTATGATTTTCTTCCCATATAACCATACAAGTTAAGAATCATGTATTCTTTTATTAAGTCCACTGCCTGGCAAGGTGTGTTGGAACATTCCTATAATACCAGCTACTGTGGAAGGCTAAGGAAGGAGAATTTTAAGTTTCAGGCCAGCCTGGACAAGTTAGTGAGACTCTGATTTTAAATAAAAAGTGCTGGGGATGTAGCTTAGTGGTAGAAAAAAATTATAAGGTCTGTGATTCCATTTATAAGAAGTTCTGAAATAGCATAATTAATTTATGGTGATAAAAACCAGGTAAGTTGTTGTTTCTGATAGGGGTGACTGGGAAAGAGCACAAGGGTGTGCTTACATCTGTTATGCATTCAACAAAACTCTTTTAACTCCATTTGCTTAAGATCTGTGTAAATTATATATATATATAAATTTTGGCTACATCAGGCATTGTCCATGCCTATAATTCCAGCAACTTGGAAAATTGAGGGCAGGCAGATAGCAAGTTCAAGGCCAGACTGGTCAACTTAGTGAGACTATCTCAAAATTAAAAAGGGCTGTGGATGTAGTTCAGCAGTAGAGTGTTTGCCAAGCATATTCAAGGCCTTGGGTTCAGTCCCCAGTATAATCAATCAGTGCTTTTTGTTGTTGTTACTGGTGATTGAACCCACGGGTGCTTAAACACTGAACCACATCCCTGGCCCTCTTTTTTTATATTTTTAATTTTTTTTCATTTGTTTTAATTAGTTATATATGACAATAGAATACATTTATGCACTTGGATATATCATACATAAATAGAGTATGATTTCTCATTTTTCTAATTGTACATGATGTAGAATCACATTAGTCATGCAATCATATATGTACATAAGGTAATGATGTCTGTTTGAGTCTACTCTCCTTCCTATTCCCATACCCCTTCTCCTCCCTTCACTTCCCTCTATCTAATCTCCAGCCCTTTTTATTTTGAGACAGGGCTTCAGCCTCCTGAGCTGTTGGGATCATAGGCATGTGCCACCACACCTGACTAATCAATGCTTTTTAAAATAAAATAAAATGAATATTTTAGATTAGTTAAAAGAGCTTACAATTGTGAGATCACCTTCTTTGACTTTTCTTCCTGCATTCTAGGATGGGGAAATGGTGCTTCTGGATGGAGGTTGTGAATTTTCCTGCTATGTGAGTGACATCACCCGTACCTGGCCTGTCAATGGCAGGTAGGGATTTTACAAAGTAATATATCCTGCTGCTTTTTAGCATGAGTTGGTTTATAGATGTACTTGGAATAAATGACTAAAGAAATAAGCAGGGCTTTTGTAGGTCAGGTTACCTGCCTTTGAAGAACTCATGATGTATTCTAAGACTTTTTGTTATTGTTGTTGTTCATCATATAGCAGATTCAAAAGCCTAGAAATACTGTGTTAGCTAACACATACATAACACATAATTTTTTAAAAATTAGTTTGTTGGGTTTTTTTCCCTGATTGCAAATGTAGTATTTAGGGTATGGTAGAATAGATTAGTTGTATTAACCTCCCAAGAGTAGTAGTAATGAAATCTGAACAAAATAATAAGATAGCTACTTAAAACCACCAGAGAACTTCCACAAACAGGAACTATACAAGTATGTCTTTGAAAGAAAATTATAAATGAATAAATTAGTGGTTAAGGCTTTTTACCTGAGGATTCCCCAACCCACACTGCTTTAGCAACATAAAGTCACAACCTTATTGGTTAAGATGATTGATTTAGATTCTGGCAGAGTATTTAGAAATATGGGAGGAAGTTCTTCAAAAGAAGGAACAACAGAGTGTTCTACATACAAAATATTCAGAAATCCTTGGCTGAGTTGGGAGAAGGCCTCAGGACATTGAGCAAAATACCAGCAGCTAGAAGCTGAATAAACTGAGCAGAAATTTTAGTTGCTTCCCACTGAAAGCAGAGTTTATAATTTGAATCCATCCAAGCTAAAATAATAATAATAATAATAATAATCACTCTTGAGGAGAACATAACCCCTAAAGCAACCACAAAAAAAATACTATAAATAGGTATAGCTAAAAAGTCAATGGGGGAATTAAGATAGAATATTAAAACCCATTCTAAAAATAATTTGTTTTGACCCAAAAGAAGACAGGGAAGGAAAAAACAAAAGCAGGCAAACAAAAAGATGAGTGGGAAAAAAAACAGCAAAATAACAGAAATAAATCCAACTGTAGTAATAATAGCCAGGCTCATTGCTGTTTAACAGAAAAGCACTGTCAAACATGGAAGACACGAATTTTGAAAATAAAATATCCAAGACAGACATACTATGCAAATATTAATCCTAAAATAACTGGAAAGCTAATGCTTAGTGCAGTGGTGCACAGCTGTAATCCCAGAGACACAGGAGGCTGAAGCAGGAGGATCACAAGGTCTGGGTATATAATTCAGTCTTCTGGGTTCAATCTGCAGTACCAAAAAAAACAAAAGGAAAGAAAAAAAAAACTAGAATGGTTATATTAATACAGACAAAATAGATTTCAGAACAAAGGAATATTAGTGGAGACAAAGAGGGTCATTTTGATGATGGTGAAAGTGTCAGTATGTCAGAGAGATATAACTATTATGAAGGTGTAAGTAGCTAAAACAGAGCTTCAAACTACATGAAGCAAGCTGGATGCACGCCTTTAATCCCATCTACTTAGGAGGCTGAGATAGCAAGATCGTGAGTTCAAAGCCAGCTTCAGCAATGGTAAGACACTAAGCAACTCAGTGAGACCCTGTCTCTAAATAAAATGCAAAATAGGCTTGGGAATGTGGCTCAGTGGTTGAGTGCCCCTGAGTTCAATCCTCAGTACCCCAAAAAATAAATAAATAAATGAAGCAAACTAACAGGACTAAAAGGAGAATACACAATCCCACAATTATAGTTGGAAGTATTGACAAATCTTTCTGATTAATTTATAAAACAAGTTACCAAAATATGAAGATTTTTTTTTGTAAAATTATATGTCTAACAACTACAGATGACACATTCTTTTCAAATAGGCATAAAAGAGCATTCACTAAGACCATTTGTAAAGCTGTAAAACCAGTCTCGGTTTCAAAAAGGTGAAGACTTATATAATTAGATTAAAAAATCAACAAAAATATTGTTACAAAAAGATACACACCCATACACACACACACTCATATATTTTTTTTAACCAAGGATTGAACCCAGGTGTGCTTTACCACTGAGCTACATTCTCGACCCTTTTTTATTTTTTATTTTGACAACTAAGTTGCTTAGGGACTTGCTAAATTGCTGACGTTGACTTTGAACTTGAGATCCTCCCACCTCAGCATCCCAAACTGCCACTAATATTTTAAAATCTCCAAATAGATGAAAATAAGCGAATGCATTCTAAATAACCTGTAAGTGAAAGAAGCAGCAAAAAAAAAAAAAATTACAATGTATTTCACATAGAATACTAATAAAACTACTACATATAAAGATGTGGGGGGTGCTGAGGTTGTAGCTCAGCGGTAGAAAGCTCACCTAGCACATGCAAGGCGCTGGGTTTGATCCTCAGCACCATATAAAAATAAATAAATAAAAATAAAGGTTTTGTGTCCAAATACAACTAAAAGTTATTAATAAAAAAATGATGTGTGAGTCCGAGTGCTTCTCATACACCCATAATCCCAGCGGCTTGGGAGGCTGAGGCAGGAGGATCGCAAATTCAAGACCAACCTGAGCAACTTAGTGAGTCCCTAAGAACTTAGCATGACCCTGTCTCAAAATAAGAAAACATTTTTAAAAAGGCTGGGGATGTGGCTCAGTGTAACGCTTCCCTGGATTCAATCCCTAGTACCAAAAAGATAAATTGGCAAGGGCCTGGAGCTGTGGTTCAGTGGTAGAGCAATAAATAAAGGTATAAAAAGTCTGATTTAAAAAAAAAAAAAAAAAAGATAATTGGCAAGCAAAAGAGTAGGATATGCCAAGCACAATGACACTAGCCTGAAATCCCAAGGGCTCAGGAGGCTAAAGCAGGAAGATCATGAGTTCAAAGCCAGCCTCAGCAAAAGCAAGGTGCTAAGCAACTCAGTGAGAACCTGTCTTTAAATGTAATACAAAATAGGGCTGGGGATGTGGCTCAGTGGTTGAGTGCCCCTGAGTTCAATCCCTGGTATCAAAAAATAAAAAGGAAAAAAAAAAACTAGGATATAATTTTCATTCAGTGGAGATTTAAAACAGACACTTGACAAAGGAATATATACAGATGACTTATACATACTTTAAAGTATTCATCAGTGTTAGTCATTGGAGAAATGCACATTAAAGTGCACAATAAGGTAACATTACTACTAAAATGGCTAAAATTAAAGACTAACCATACCAACAATTGGCAACAAAGCAATACAACTGAAACTGTGATACTTGCTTTTGGGTAGCGGTAGTGTATAATGTTTACAACCACTTTGGGGGAAAAACTTGGCAGTTTCTTATGAAGTTAAATAAATGCTGACCCTTTGGCCTAGTAATTCCACTTCTAGGTATTTACCTCAGAGAAACAAATACTTGTCCACAAAGACACATATAAGAATGTTTATAACATCTTTATTTACAATAGCCAAAACCTGGAAACAAATATCTATCAACAGAAGAATGAATATGCAAATTATGGTACACAATATGCAGTTTCAAATAATGAAATACTGGTCAACCATAAAAATATTCTACTGATTAGATAAATTACATAGCCATTGTGCTCAAAGAAGAAAATTGCACACAGAAGAGTACATATCATATGATACACAGAATGGTCAGAATGAATGAAATTATCAAGACAGTCTTTGCCTCTGGAAGAAGGGGTATTAATTAAAAATAGAAACAGGGAATACACCTGTCAGCTACACAAGAGGCTAAGCAGGAGGATCGAAAATCCAAGTCCAGCATTGACCCTGTCTCAAATTTTCAAAAAAGACTGGGGATACGGCTCAGTGGTATAGCACCCTTATATTCAATCCCCAAACGATGAAAAGGAAAGAAAAGGAGAGAGGGGGGAAGGGAGGAGAAAGAAATAAGAAAGTTTTCTGGGAAGGTTAAAATGTTTTGTATAATATAGGTTTACAGATCTGTGGGTCAGGATTCTCCAGAGGAACAGACCCAGTGGGTATGTGTGTATGTATGTACAAATACTTACATGTCACTTAACAGTGAGGATATATTCTGAGAAATGCTTCCTTAAGTGATTTCATCATTGTGTGAACATAATGGGGTATACTCACACATTTAGATGGTATAGGTCAATCATTCATTGTAGCCTTTTTTTAATGTTTTTACTAGTGCATTATAGTTACACATAGTAGTGTTCATTTTGACATATTCATGCATGCATGGAATATAATTTGCTCCATTTTAATCCCTATATTTCCACTTTACCTCACCTCCTCCCTGCCCCTATTCCCCTTCTTCTTCTACAGTGGTCTTCCTTCTAGTTATTTTTTATTGGTGTTTTATAGATGTACATAAAGGTGGAATTCACTGTGGTATACTCATATATGCATATAATTTGATCAGTGTCTTTCTGTAGGTCCTTCTTTTTCCTGTTCCTCCTCTCTCCCCCTCAAAACTCTTCCTCTACTCCACTAATTTCCCTTCTATTTTCATGATGTTCCCTCTACTTGTTTTTTTTTTGTTGTTGTTGTTGTTGTAATTGTTGTTTTCTCTCCTTATTTCACTCTAGCTTCCAAATACGAGAGAAAATATTTGACCTTTGACTTTCTGAGTCTGGCTTATTTCATTTAGCATGATGTTTTCCATTTACCAGCAACTGCCATAATTTCATTCTTTATGGCTGAGTAAAACTCCATTGTACATATATACCACATTTTATTTATCTGTACGTCTGTTGATGGGCACATAGGTAGATTCTATAACTTGCCTATTGTGAATTGAGCTGCTATAAACATTGATGTGCCTATATCACTATAATATGCTGATTTTCATTTTAGATTAATACCAAGGAGTGGGAAAGCTTGGTTTTATGGTGGTTCTATTCCTAGTCTTTTGAGGACTCTTCATACTGCTATCTAAATGGCTGTTCTCATTTATAGACCCACCAACAGTGTGCTTAACCACTGAGCCACATCGCCAGCCCTTTTCATTTTTTTACCTTCAGACCTAATCTCCCTAAGTTGTGTAGGAGGGTGGCCTGGAACTTGCCATTCTTCTCCCTCAGCCTCCTGAGTTGCATGACCCTGATTGCTAAGGATGTTGAACATTCTTTCATATATTTGTTGGCCACTTGTATTTCTTCTTTTAAGAAATACCCATGGGGGGCTGGGGATGTGGCTCAAGCGGTAGCGCGCTCGCCTGGCATGCGTGTAGCCGGGGTTCGATCCTCAGCACTGCATACAAACAAAGATGTTGTGTCCGCCAAAAACTAAAAAATAAATATTAAAATTCTCTCTCTCTCTCTCTCTCTCTCTCTCTCTCTCTCTCTCTCTCTCTCTCTCTCTCTCTTAAAAAAAAATAAGGCTGAGGTTGTGGCTCAGTGGTTAAGTACCCTTGGGTTCACTTCCCTGTAAAAAAAAATTTTTTAAAAAAAAAGAAAGAAAGAAATACCCATGGGGCTGGGATTGTGGCTCAGCGGTAGAGTACTCGCCTAGCACGGGCGGGACCCGGGTTCAATCCTCAGCACCACATAAAAATAAAGGCATTGTGTCCATCTACACCTAAAAAATAAATGTTTAAAAAAAAAAAAAGAAAGAAAGAAAAAGAAATACCCATTTAGGGGCAGGGGTTGTGGCTCAGTGGCAGAGTGCTTGTCTAGCACATGCAAGGGCCTGGGTTCAATCCTCAGCACAACATAAAAATAAATAAACAAACAAACAAATAAAGATGTTGTGTCCAACTACAACTAAAATATAAATATATGATGGGAGGGGAGGGGAGGGGGGGTAGGAAGAGCAGCAGAATAAAATAGACACTAGTATTGCTGTATGTATATACATGGCTGTATAACCAATGTGATCCTGCAATCTGTACTTGTGGAAAAATGAGAATTTATACCCCATTTGAATCAAATGTATGATATGTCAAGATCATTGTATTGTCATGAGCAACTAATAAAAAACATAAAGAAATACTCATTTAGTTCTTTTGCCCAATTTATTGATTTTATTTTATTTGGCATTAGGTTGAGTTCTTTATATATTCTGGATATTAATATCTGTCCAAGAAATAATTGGTAAAGATTTTCTCCCATTCTTCAAGTTCTATCTTCATTCTCGTTTCCTTTGCAGAAGCTTTTTTATTTAATGCCATCCTACTTACTGATTCTTGGTTTTATTTCTTAATCTTTAGGGGTCTTATTAAGAAAGTCAGTACCTGTGTCTGTATGTTCCAATGTTTGACCCTGTGTTTTCTAGCAGTTACAAAGTTTCTCATCTAATTCCTAAGCCTAAGCCTTTGATCCTCTTGAGTTGACTTTTGTGCAGAGTAGCATATAGGGATCTAGTTTTATTCTTGTAAATATGGCTATATTCAGTTTTCCTAGCTCAATGTGGGTTTTGTTGTTGTTGTTGTTGTTGTTGTTTTGGTACCAGGGATTGAATGCAGGGGCCCTTAAACATGGAGTCACATCCCCAGCCCCCTTTATATATATTTTTTTTTCCTTTAAGAGAGAGAGAGAGAATTTTAATATTTATTTTTTAGTTTTTGGCACACACAACATCTTTGTTTGTATGTGGTGTTGGAGATCGAACCCGGGGCCACACGCATGCCAGGCGAGCGCGCTACTGCTTGAGCCATATCCCCAGCCCCCCTTTTTTTATATTTCATTAGAGATAGAGTCTCACTGAGTTGCTTAGGGCCTTGCTAAGTTGCTGAATCTGGGTTTGAACTTGCAATTCTCCTGCCGCAGCCTCCTGAGTCACTAGGATTACAGGCGTGCACCATTGCACCCAGCCAATATGGTCTTTTGATGTAGTTGAGAGATGCAGTCACATGGGTCATGTAGAGCTGCTGCCATTGTAACATAGCAGACTGTTTACATTCAGCTTTCTGTGTGTGTGTGTGCAGTACTGGGGATTTAGCCCAGGGTTGCTGTACCACTGAGCTACATCCCCAGGCTTTTTTATTTTATTTTGAGGCAGGGTCTCACTAAATTGCCCAAGTTGGCCTCAAACTTGCAATCCTCTGCCTCAGCCTTCTGAGTAGCTGGGATTGGTGTGCACCACAATGCCTGGCCTACAGTCAACTTTTTTTTTAATGAATTTAAAGAGAGAGAGAGAGAATTTCAATATTTATTTTTCAGTTTTTCGGTGGACACAACATCTTTGTTTGTATGTGGTGCTGAGAATCAAACCTGGGCCGCACGCATGCCAGGCGCGATACCGCTTGAGCCACATCCCCAGTCCCCTTAGCATTTTATTATCTTCATAATAAAACAATGAAGCTTAGAACTGGATCACTTGGTCCTTGCTCTTTTAATCTCCTCCCAGTTCAAAATGCTTGCATCTCTTAAAAACCAGCATTCTCTTAGATCTCCTTTTAGGCTCAACACACTCAAGCCTCAGCACAATCTTTGTAGTTTTAGGCTTTTTCTTGAAAAATCACCTTAGTCTGCCCACCCCCACCCCACAGCCACTCTGTTTCCTGTCACAATGGAGTATTACTCAGCACTAAAAAATGACAAAATCATGGAATTTACAGGGAAATGGATGGCATTAGAGCAGATTATGCTAAGTGAAGCTAGCCAATCCCTAAAAAACAAATGCCAAATGTCTTCTTTGATATGAGAGCAACTAAGAACAGAGCAGGGAGGAAGAGCATGAGAAAAAGATTAACATTAAACAGGGACGAGAGGTGGGAGGGAAAGGGAGAGAGAAGGGAAATTTCATGGAGACCCTCATTGTTATACAAAATTACATATAAGAGGATGTGAGGGGAAAGGGAAAAAATCAAGGGAGAGAAATGAATTACAGTAGATGGGGTAGAGAGAGAAGAAGGGAGGGGAGGGGAGGGGGGATAGTAGAGGATAGGAAAGATAGCAGAATACAACAGTCACTAGTATGGCAATATGTAAAAACGTGGATGTGTAACCAATGTGATTCTGCAATCTGTATATGGGGTAAAAATGGGAGTTCATAACCCACTTGAATCAAATGTATGAAATATGATATGTCAAGAGCTATGTAATGTTTTAAACAACCAATAAAAAAAGATATTCAGCTAAAAAAATTATTTAGTGGCACACTCCTATAATCTCAGCAACTTCAGAGATTAAAGCAAGAGAATCATGAGTTTGAGGCCACCCTGGGCAACTTCGCAAGACTCATCTCAAAATAAAAAGAACTGGGGATGTAGCTCAGTGATAAAGTACCCTTGGATTCAATCCCCAGTAAATATAAAATAAATAAAATAGTACTTTGTGGGATGAGGTCTGAGTGCATTTATAGATGACATAATTATAAAAATATTGATAATGGTTGAGCCTAGAGGGTACATAGGTGTTCATTTATATTACTATATTGTTATATTTAATCATTATATTAGAGTTCATCAAATTATGCAGTTATACCCTACAAATATTACAAAAACAAATATCTTTGTACATTCAACTTTTTTGAATTTCAATTACTTTCTAAGGATGGGTTCTTAAGCAGAATCAAAAGTTCAATTTATTTTTAAGGCCTTTTTTTAATATTTATTTTCTAGTTGTAGTTAGACACAATACCTTTATTTCATTTATTATTTTTATGTGGTGCTGAGGATCAAACCCAGGGTCTTGTACATGTGAGTGAGTGCTCTACCGCTGAGCCACAACCCTAGCCCTCTTTAAGGCCTTTGATTTAATTGACTATAATAATTTACACTCCCATCAAGAGTATATGAGAATACATATATTACCTCAGCTCATTAATAAGCACCTAGTAACCATCTGAAGGAGAGGCTGTGTTGCTGCCCCAGCTTGAAGGAGTGTCACTCTCCTACTGAGCACCTAGGGTATGGTCAGGGTTCTCTTAGTAATGATGTTTCAGTAGTTACCAAGTATCAACAATGCCTCAGCAACAGCAGCCTAGAATTCCTCTAATCGAACAGAAGCAAAGTTCTTGCAATATCTGATTATTCTGAATTTAAGGTCTTTTACTTTCCTGTTCATAGGTTCACCGCAGCTCAGGCAGAACTCTATGAAGCTGTTCTAGAGATCCAGAGGGCTTGTCTGTCCCTCTGCTCCCCTGGGACAAGCTTGGAGAATATCTACAGCATGATGTTGACGCTAACAGGACAGAAGCTTAAAGAGTTGGGGATCATGAAGAACAGCAAAGAAAATGCTTTCAAGGTACTTCCCTTTTCTTGACCCCAGTTCTCAAGAATGCCAACATGCTGCTCTATTTTACCCTATATAAAGCTAAGTAGACACTTATAATCCTACTAACTCAGGAGGCTGAGGCAAACAGATTGTGCAAGTTCAAGACCAGCCTGGGAGATTTAGTGAAACCCTGTATCAACTTTTCAGTGGTTGAGGATGTGGCTCAGTAAGAGTGCTAACATACTTGAGGCCCTGGGTTCAATCCCCATTACCACCAAAAAAGAAAGAAAGAAAAGATCTTTGTATTCCATATCTGTAGAAAGGATTTGGCTTTAACATTGGTTGAAACAAAAGGAATCAGTACTTAACATCTTCCAGAAGATGGCAGCACATTCTGATTCTTGACTTACTGTGTGACCAGCTCAATATTCAGAAAACAAAATGAAGTCTGGTTCATAATGGGTAGAAAAGGACATTAAAAAGAAGAGAAGTTAACTCTCAATCCTTTTGTGATGATTCTGAAGGTCAGAGGAGAGAATGTTTGTTGTTTGAGTGACATTGTTGAGATTTTAACACTATGTTCAAAAGCCTGTCTTTAATAAATTTTATCTGCTCCCAAAATATAATGATGTCTAAAAATGTAAAACCTCAGCTTTAAGTGGTCAAGCCAGATAGACCATTAAGCATCTTTCATCTCTAAGTTCAGGCTGCTCTAATCGAACAGAAGCAAAGAAGAGAATAGAAAAGAATAGAAATAGAAAAGAAGCTATAAAGCCAGGTATGCTGGTGCACACCTGTAATCCCAGACACTCTGGAGGCTTAGGCAGGAGGATTGAAAGTTCAAGGCCAGCCTCAGCAACTTAACTAGACCCCATCTCAAAATAAAATTTTTAAAGAGGGCGAGGGATGTAGTTCAGTGTTAGAGTGCTTGCCTAGTATGCTCAAGGCTCTGGTGGGTTCAATCCCCAGTACTGCAAAAGAGAGAAGAAAATAAACTATTGGGGCTGGGTTATGTTCAGCAGTAGAACGCTTGCCTAGCACCTGGGAGAGGCTGGGTTCGATTCTCAGCACCACATAAAAATAAATAAAATAAAGATGGTGTGTCCAACTACAACTAAAAAAAAATATTAAAAAAAAGAAGCTATAAATCTTCTGTTATTTAGGCTTACACTTCTTTAATTAACTGATAGAAATATCCAAGCTAGTGAATACCTAATAATTATACCTACTCCACAGGTTGCTGTAACCTACTTAGGGTGTCCAGAGTAGGCTTCCTGAGAGAGATGTGAGAGTATTGAAAAGATAAGGATCCTAATATGGTCATCTTCCCTTAACCAAGGAAAGAGATTTTCATTTGTCATAGTCATTACTGGGATTCCCCAAGTCAACAAGTGTGTAGTAGATTTTTAGTGAGATGGGAATGTGGATTTAGTGTCATTGGCAGAATTGCATATAAGCAGAAGCTAGGCACATGTTAGTTAGATTCCCCAGACCCATCATCAGGCCTCTTAAGCAATAGCCCAAGGACAGGTTAACATAAGTAGCAGAACCATTGGGAAAGTATTAATGCAAATCTCACTGATTTAAACATGCCCAACTTGCCCCTTAAGAGGTCCTTGCTCTAATAAAACTGTGGTTATTATCTCTTCTAGTCTGCTCGAAAATACTGCCCTCACCATGTAGGCCATTACCTTGGGATGGATGTCCATGATACTCCAGACATGCCCCGTTCTCTCCCTCTGCAGCCGGGTATGGTGATCACAATTGAACCAGGTGAGGAGCTCGGTCCTTTCAGGACAAATAATACTGTGATTGTTTTTACCTGAACCAACATAATTAATTATATTAAAAGAGGGGACAGGAGGGACAGGGTGGATCTCTCCAGTGCAGTGGTGACTTCATTTTAGATTTATCTTTAACTTTCTTATTTAACATCACACAATTCGTTTAATTTCTTTTACCTTTTTTTCCACATAATTTGTTTAATTTTACTTCTCCAATAATCAACAGATGGTGAATGCTTTCCTATAAGCAGATATTAAAAAATAAATCTGTTTTTAATTCTGCCTTTGCCAGAGCCAATTTGTGCTATTCTCCCAGTTGTTAGTAGTGGACTGCTCAAACTTCCAAAACCCAGTGAGTGCAGGCAGAGAGACCTATAGACTCTCCATGTTCAAATGCAACATCCCTGCAAGCTACAGTGAACTATCCAGCATTATCCTACTGCTTAGTCTCCAACTCCTTTCAGTCAAATAGGTTTCCTGATTGAAGTGATACCAGCTGTCAGACAGAATGCAAAAGAGAAATGGTGTGGAAGATTAATGTTCCAAGAGTTAATTTTTTTATTTTTTAAATTAATTAGTTAATTATTTATTTTAAGTAAATAATAGTGCTGGGGATCAAATCTAGGGCCTCATGCATGCTAAGTAAACACTATATTACTGAGCTCCATACCTAGACCCCCAAGAGCTAATTTGTAAAAACAGACACTGTTTTCATGGTGAAAAGAAGATCATAACTTTAGATAAAATGTTTTAACCTCTAAATTATAGAAATTATTGCTTGGAAATGTATTTCATACCACTCTTTGAACCCAGTTGTTTGTTGTTCTGGTCTTAGATGCTCTTTAGTCTAATTAGTCTAATCTTGTTAGTAAATGAGTGCACATGGATTCTTCCTTAGATTTTTTTGAATCCTCTTTTTATTTTTTTATTTTTTGTACCAGGGATTGAACCCAGAGGCGTTTAACCACTGAGCCACATCTCCAGCCCTTTTCATATTTATTTAGAGACAGCATCTTGCTGAGTTGCTTAGGGCCTCGATAAATTGCTGCAGCTGACCTTGAACTCAAAATCCTCCTGCCTCAGCCTCAGAGCCACTGGGATTACAGGCTTGCACCACTGTGCCTGGGGGGGGGGGAACTTTAATGACTATTCAACAGTTTCTGCTTGTTAAGGCTAATAATCACTAAATAAATATTTAAATGCAATTTAAACACATTTAATATATATTTTATCTTTATTTTAGCCACATGCCCTTTTCCAGAGGAGCATTAGGCAAAGGGAGTGTACATATATAATCTGCTAGTTCCCAGCATGTATAGACATATTCATAAGTTAAGTAACTAACTTTAGTGTCCTATGTGAGCTAGTAGACTATGAGGGAATCACAATCAACATTGTCATGTAGAGCCTGTAGACTAATACACAAGATGACTGTAATGATAATAATTCTAGTAATGATAATATCCCATATTATTGATCATTATGTGCCAGGCGCTATTAAATGTGTTGTCTCATTTAATTCTCATAACTCTGATAGGCTTAAGATACAGACACAGATAAAAAATTATAACTCATATTAACTTGCCCAGGATCACCCAGTTACTGCCATGTTGAACAATGCACTCTTCTCTCTACTTCTCAGGCATTTATATTCCAGAGGATGACAGAGATGCTCCAGAGAAGTTTCGAGGTCTTGGTGTGCGAATCGAGGATGATATAGTGGTGACTCGGGACTCCCCTCTCATCCTTTCTGCAGATTGTCCCAAAGAGATAAATGACATTGAGCAGATCTGCAGCAGAACCTCATGACCCCCATTGCAACTCAGATGCATCTCAGGTTCAAAACAGGCGTGCAGGCATCCCTGCATTTGTGCATTCTGAGTCTCCATGCATATTTATGCACATGTTTTATTTGAGGGTGCAGCAGCTATATATGATGTGTGTAATCATTACATGGGCTTTTCTAAATAGATGGAAAAACAGAAAAGTGAATTTTGGAATGATTTCTTACTGTGACTTTAGTAACATTAATTCTATAGAATTAATGATCCAAACAAGTTTAATTTTTAAACGTAAAATAAGGTCTTGGTTATATATGTCATTTCATTCCAATTAACACATTTAAACATAGGGAAAATTCTCTTCTCTCTAGGTCCTTTCTTTACTTTCACTGATGTCATAAGATATATGATGCCTGTATTTTAAGCTAATCACCAGGATCTCTGCCTGTGCTGAGAACTACATGTCAGTGACTTTAGATGGCCAGCACGTACCTTTCATAACTCCTGCCTCCATATTCCATATTCTGCTTATGTACTGGAGCCACATGAACTTGCAGGGAAACTGGCATCCTTTTCATTCAGCCACAGTCCAGATTCAGCAACATGAGCTATTGAACAAAATAGTTTTGAATCTTTCTTGCTATTTGATTGCCCGAGCCCTAGAAAGTGTTTAGATTTTTCATAAGGAAGAAAACGGAACAGAAAGAAAAGAATATGTATGTCTCTTACAGATCCAGACCTCCAACTATTTGTTCTCTTCAATTTAAAGATGATTCCTTTCCCAGGCATCCCTGATTCCTTTATAAGTTTTTGGTTGTTGTTGTTATTGTTATTGTTTTTGAGATAAGTTGTTTACCTAGGCTGGTCTTAAACTTTAGGGCTTAAGTGATCCTCCCATCTCAGCCTCCAGAGTTGCTGGCATGCCACTGTACCTGGCTCCTTCACAGTTTATTTACTTTGTTTTTTCTTTTTCTTCCCACCTCTCCTCCCAGTACTAGAACCTAGCGCCTCACATATACTAGGCAAGCACTCTACCTACCACTGAGCTGTATCCCCACATCTTTTAAATTTTGAGACAGGATCTTACTCAGTTACCCAGGCTGGCTTAGAACTTGTAATCCTCCTGGGCCAGCCTTTGCCTACCTGGGATTACATTTAAGTCCTACCATACCTGGCCACCACACTAGGTAATGCACTGACCTCATAAGTCACTCTTGAAATTACTGCACTGGCCAAAAGCAGATCCCCCACTTACCCTGTTAAAGTCAAAATAATGGCATTCAGTTTTCAGAGAAATAACCCTCCTATTCTGTGATTTCCTCTAGCTCTGATTAAATATTTTAATCAATACAACAACTCAGTCTGTATAATGAACAGAGCTAAATTACTAAAGATGGTTTATTCAGAAGTCTTCTTTCTAAGGACCAGTGCATTCACCTCCTTTAAACCCAATATACAAAACATAATGGTTCAAGGGTTTGTGGTTTTCTTTTTTTCGTATTTGTGTTAAGGAAGCTCAAGACTAAGGGATTAGTAATCTAGTGCTAGAAGTTTGCTCATAGTACGTACTGAGCCAAAAACAGACAAAAGAAAAAGATAGTGTTACAACAAAAGTGATAGAGATCACATTCTGACAGATAGTTCTCATCCACAAGTGCCTGGCTCTGCTAATGTTAGCTAAGTGGCTAAGGGAATGGAGGCTGCACCAATGGAGGCTATATCCCCATTCCTGCCCTCCCACCTTCTTCCAATTCTTAGTCTGTGCTGCTTTCTAACAGAAAGGGAGGGGCATAAAACCACTCTGGCTTTTCATTCACCTAGTCTTTGTACTTTATTCTTTTTTTTTTTTTTTTTTTTTTT